ATACCTTTGTGAATTAAAAAAAAAAAAAAAAAACACCAGAGAAATGAGTTTCCAGAAGGAAGATGAAAGGCAGCTGATAACATGTCAGGGAAGAATCTAGAAGGACATTATACAGATGTGACAACTACTCCAGTCTTCCTTTGTTCTTATTTCAATTAGTAGTGCCTAAGACCTTTGACTGCTAACCAGGAGGCTGGCAGTTCAAATCCACCAGCCACTCCATGGACGAAAGATTGGGCAATTTACTTTCAGTAGAGATACTGCCTCAGAAACCCAAGGAGGGGCCGCTATGAGTCCAATCAACTTGAAGGCTCTGAGTTTGGTTTTGAGTCACGCAAAGGAGTCCCTGGGTGGGGCAAGAAGTACTCAGCTGCTAATCAAAAGGGTGGAGGTTTGAGTGGGCCCAGAGGCACTTCAGAAAAAGCCCTGGTTATTCACTTGCAACAAATTTGCTATTGAAAACCCTGTGGAACACAATTCTACTCTGATACACATGGATGGGTTCACCATGAGTCAGAATTTACTTGACAGCAACTGCATTAGACATGAAAAACCATTCTGTTTATTCGTTCATTCATATTATTCAACAAATATTATTAGGCTCTTTTTGTGTGATAGGATAACATACATACATCCACAAGGAAGATCAGTTAATACTGCTACTATTCAAATTTATATACCAACTACTAAAGCCAAAGATAAAGAAATTGAAGATTTTTACCAACTTCTTCAGTCTGAAATTGACCAAGCATGCAATAAAGATGCATTGATAATTACTGGTGATTAGAAAGAGAAAATTGGAAGGAAACAAAGAAGCATCAGTAGTTGGGAAATAAGGCCTTGATGATAGAAATGATGCTGGAGATCTTATGGCAGAATTTTACAAGACCAATGACTTATTCATTGCAAATACCTTTTTCAACAATATAAACAGTGGCTATACACGTGGACCTTGCCAGATGGTACACCAGGAATAAAATTAACCACAGCTATGGAAAGAGACAATGAGAAGCTTAATGTCATCAATCAGAACAAGGCTAGGGCCCCACTGTGGAACAGACCATCAATTGTTCATGTGTAACTTTAAGCTGAAGCTGAAGAAAATTTAAATAATTCCAAATAGAAAAAAAAGAAACAAACTCACTGCCATCTAGGCAATTCCAACTCATAGCGGCCACCATTGGGTGTCCAAGGTGGTGATAAATCTTTACGGAAGTAGGTTGCCTCCCTTCCTTCCATGAAGCAGCTGATGGGTTTGAATCATCAGCCTTCTGGTTAATAGTCAAATGCCTTAGGCACTGTGCCAACAGAGCTCCTTTAATAAAATAAGTCCCTAAAAGCCAAAATACAACCTTGATTGTATCCCATCTGAATTTAGAGACCACCTAAATTTAGAGACTGAAGACTA